CCCTAAAGCTAACCCTAAACCTAACCCTAACCCTTAACCTAACCCTAACCCTAACCCTTAACCTAACCCTAACCCTAACCCTTAGCCTAACCCTAAACCTAGCCCTTACCTTTACTTGAATCGGCTTGCTTTCAAAGCGCTATTTAAAGTGCCCTTCTTTCTCCGCGCTCGCTGTTGTTGCCCTGCTGATGATGTCAGCGACGCGGTTTAATCGGGCGCGCTTTAGTTGAGCACGGTTTTGTCGTGCCACGGAGATCAGGAACACAATACAATCCAACAGCAATAATAAGTCACCTGTATAGGTAGTCCTCAAGATATGACTCTAATGGAGCCTGTTTATTGGGGTCCCAAATCAAAACTGTTGTAAAATGAATCAGACTCATTTTTTAAATATTTCTAACTGTGCTTGTTAAGCAAATCAATCAGGTTGTTACATAAACAAAGATAAGTTTTACTGTTTGCTTTGTATCATCAAATGACCTCTGCTATTATTAAGTAAACAAAGAGACCCAAGAGTTTGCAGCATTCCCCAGCTAGAGTGGCTACCACTAACCCATCAGCTGTTTGGCAAGGTGAGGCTGCAGTACCTCCAGGCAAGTGCCTGGACTTAAATTGGGATGGAGGGATGAATTTGCAAGGCTCCCAATTGTTGGAAGGAAAATCCAGCTGGTTCAGTTCCAAGTTGGGAGGGGAAAAAAACTCTGGAAACAACATTGAGGCTGATTGGAAAGAATGGTTTATTGATGAAGCAGAACCACCAGGGTTTGTGGTTCTAGTGCAGCTGACAAAATGGTTGAATGAATAGATGGATCTTTATGTTTCTGTGACTTTGAACTTTGGACTGTTCTGGGGGTGGTGCAATGCAGTGGCTTGTGTTCTGAAAGGTTGTTGGGCAATTCCTATTGTGGCTAATGACTTTCCTTCTCTATTGGATCTTGTGGGAGAGGCTGCTTTCTAATCCTACCGTTCTGCCAAGAAGTTTAGAAATATCCTGTCTTGAACGGATTACCAAATCTGCATTTCTAAAAACTGGCCTCCTCAGTTTCAGCTTGGGAGCAGGGAGGCTGGTGCTGGTTTCTGCCTCCCTTAAGATTTTTTTCCCATTTCTTCTTTAGGGGAAATATTCTACCCTGCCTTTTTAATATTTCCCAAAATATTTCATTATTCTAGGTGTGGGAGGGGGTTCTCCAGGAGAGAATTGCTGCCACCTGCCCATCAGCTGTTCTATAAGCAATCTACATTAGTACACACTAATCTTCAAAGCAAAAACAAATCAATACAGTACACTAGAATGCAACTGAACTTCACAGTATTGAATCTGTTTTCTGTAGCTGCTGGCTAATATTTCTGCAGGCAATTCCAAGGCAAATGCAAATAAGCAAAGTAACCCCCCAAAAAGTTTACCTTTGTAAAGTACTTACAAACTGTAGGAAGTTACACTCACCCCTCTCCTAGGAATGTTGAATGTTTATTTTATTTATATGCTGCCCTTTTCCCCCGAAGGGGACTCAGGGCGNGATGACTTCAGGCAGAGGGGAGGGGACACAGGGGTAAAGTTCAGATGCCATTAAGTGGGATTTAGTTTCAGCTCCACAGATGTCCGTACCAAGATATTAGTCCTAATAAATGAATGGGGTTTTCTTGAACTTTGTCTCGAGGCTCGTAAATTAATTAGGTCAGCTCTTGGAAACTTCACACCCACTGTCAGACTTGGAAGCCATCTTTTCCCTTTTGGATTTCAGGCCTGCCACACTTTCTACTGTGGGAAAGTGAGAGGGGGGATTTTACAGACTATGGGTGATGTGTAGTCATAATAACATTCTTTCTCAGAAAGTCAAGGTCTCTTTGTCCCTGCACCTGGATGGATGTGGATGGGAGGAATCTTTCTTCGTGGCAATGAAAGATTGGACCATGTGATAGACTTGTGGGTGTTGGGGCAGGGTCTTGAACTTTCAACTGGGGGGGAAAACCTGGAAGCTTTGAGATCTGGGTTTTCCCAGATGTGCCAACATGAAATCTCTAATGAAATGGAACTTTGAGGAAGCTCAAGCCTCGGAGTTTTCTTTCATTGGGGGTGTTTCTTGGAACCCTGACACTGGACACAAAAGAGAGGTCAACCCGACCTGAAACTGCCCAGCTAATGGGGAATCACAGCCTAGAGGGGGTTTTCAGTGAAGAGGACTGTAACTTTTTCGCCCCTCATCAACCAACTGACTGGGCAATAGAATTCGTGCCTGGGGAAAAGTTACCTAAGCCTATGATGACCCCTAAGAAAATGGGGGAGCTAAGGAAATACATCGATACCAATTTAAAGTGGGGTTTTATCCAACCTTCCAAATCTAAGGTAGCTACCCCGTCCTTTTTAAAGAGAAAAATAGGGGGGGGGGGTGAGGCTGTGCATGGACTTTCATAGTATTAACACAATCTGCATGGAAAACACCTCCCCTTCCCCCTTATGAAGGACATGTTGAACCACCTGTCCAAGGGCAAGGTGTTCACAAAATTAGACTTAAGAGAGGCGTACTACTGCATATGAATCCGAGAAGGGGACGAGTGGAAGACTGCTTTCAACTGCCCCCTTGGTAGCTTCCAATTCAAAGTCATGCCATTTGGCTTGCAAGGTGCCTCTGCCATCTTCATGCAATTAATAAATGAGGTGCTGCATGAACATCTTTACAAGGGGGTTCTCATTTATTTGGCTATATTCTCATCTTTACCGAGACCCTGGAAAAACACGTAAAGCTGGTGTAGCAAGTTCTGAAAAAACTCTTTGCCGCCAAGCTTTACACAAAGCTATCAAAATGCGAATTCCACAATACCTCCCTAGATTACCTAGGATATCGGATAACCAATGAGGGAGTAGAGATGGACCCAGGGAAGGTAAAAGCTGTGCTCGACTGGCAACCCCCATGCACCCGCAGGCAGCTACAGAGTTTCCTGGGGTTCGCTATGCATCCCGACTTTCGTGGAAGTCACCCTGCCCCTGACTGGATTGTTAAAAATGGGGTATCCGCCAACAAAGCAAAAGCCAGCCCAACCAATTGTGTGGACAATGGACTGCTAAAAAGTATTTGAGAAGTTGAAATGGCTTTGCTCAAGAGCCCATTTTGCAACACCCAGATCCAGAGCAGTAATTTATAATACAGGCAGACGCCAGCGATGTGGGCGTAGCAGCAGTGCTCTTGCAAAGAAACCCAAAAGGACAACTCCTGCCTTGTGCTTATGTCTCCAAAAAGCTCACTGACACCGAAAGAAGGTGGGCTATTTGGGAGAAAGAAGCCTACGCAGTCTGCTGAACGCTACTCTCTCATGGAGACAATTCCTAGAGGGGGAAAAAGTGCCTTTGGAGGTCTGGAATGATAATCAAAACCTCGAAGCCCTAAAGACCCCCAGAAAACTGTCTCCAAAACAAGTTGGCTGGGTGCAGTACTTCAGGAGATTTAAATTGAAACTGAAGTACATTCCAGCAGGGAAGAACCTGCTAGCAGATGCCTTGTCAAGAAAGCCACAGTTTGACAGCCGGAGGGAGGAGGTGGTTCACGCCATCATTCCCCCTAAGCAACGAACAGCACAAGTCACCACCAGAGGCCAGACCAAGCGGCCGACCGATGCCAGCCAGGACAAACTGACTGCCACCCTGAAAGCAGCGCTGTCATCTGACCCCTGGCTCACCGACAACAAAGACGTCTTAACGATGAGAGATGGACTAGCCTGGAAAGGATCCAAAATATACGTCCCAGCCAGCTTGAGGCTACAAGTGCTACAGCGCAGCCATGATGCAAAGTTAGGCGGCCACTTTGGATTCCTGAAGACTCTCCATCTCGCCAGGTGAAAATTCTGGTGGCCTAAGATGAAAGCAGAAGTGGAGGACTATGTAAAGAGCTGTGCCACCTGTGCAGCCATGAAAATAAGGTTGGGCAGCCCCCTGGGCTACTGCAACAGGTGGCAAGCCCCAGCCAACCCTGGGAAGAAATCACAATGGATTTTATCGTAGAGCTTCCAGAAAGAGGCAGGAACACAATAATTTGGACAGTCATTGACTTGTTTTCCAAACAAGTCCACTTTATCGCTTGCTCAGGGCTGCCATCAGCAAAGAAGCTAGCGAAGTTGTTTTTCAAGCATATCTATCACCTCCATGGAGTACCCTGGAGCATCATCTCTGACAGAAGAGTCCAGTTCACCGCCCAATTCTGGAGGCAGTTCTTGAGATCCATTAGATCCACGCAAGGACTCCGCTCGGCTTTTCATCTGAGCACAAATGGAGTAGCGGAACGTTTGAATGCAATGGTCGAACAATATATCTGTTATGTGGATTACCAACAGGACAATTAGTTGGACCTGCTACCGTTCACCGAAGTGGTGTATAATAATGCGGTCCATAGCAGCACTGGATTAACTCCTTTCCAAATTACCAGCAGCATGGAATTTGTCCCCATGCCTGAGCTGCCCAGGGAGCCCCCCCCTCCTCATATCTTTTTTTTTGAATTTTTTATTTTTTTATTCTCTTACATACCATTTTAAGTATACATTCACATAATGGTTATTCTTCTTTACATTTATCATTCTTATACATTTATTATTNGAGGTGAGCCTGAGGGGCCGGAACAAGGAATCGCTGTAATGTAGCGAGTCCTTCTTCCCCGGTAATGGCTAGCCCTACAGCTCCCGTCATATCTGTCCCTCCCGGTCATAACTGAAATGCTCCGACCCCCTCCCCCATCCATAGACCCTCCCCCGTCTCCCATGGCCCCCATTCGTCCTGGCAGGCCACACATACCATTCACTCTAGGGTGAGGGGCGGATCCGGGCCCTCATCCACTTCTGCTTCTGCACTTAATGGAGGGGGCTCCAGGTCGCACCCCCAGTCCTATCATGTTCACCCAACAAACATTCTGCTCAGACGCACCCCACAGTAGCCATTAAAAATACAATACAGTGATAAAAATAATTAAATTAATTAAATTAAAAGTGGGCACATTCCCTCTCACAGTCGTACTATCATACACTCAGCACATTAGTTAAAATGCTGTTCTTGAGGCTGCAAAACAAAGGTGGTCCAGCTCCCGCAGGGCTTTGATGGCCGAAATGTAGAGGGTGATAATGTCCGAAGTGTTCACCCCGGGATGGAGCAGCCATAGTTCCAAGGTGCTTTTCAGGGAGGTCAGGAGCTGCTGCCGCTGATTGGTCCTTTCCAGGCAATACTTCAGGTCTTCTACTCAATGGGGTGGGCGGGGAGGCCAAAAAGAGAGCGTCAAAGCCATCCCCAAGTTAGTAAGCTGAAATATTCCAAGCACTATGAATTACACGCTCCCTTCGGCTACTTGGGAAAGGGATTGGGAGTTCTCCCTCCCATTCCATTGCAGGAGAGGTGGCCAGACGGGCAGGCTCTATCAGGCGCACTCCCCGCAGAAACACACCATTTTTGGTCCCAGGAGGCTTCGGGGAGGCCTGCTAGCACCAAAATGGGGGTCATGCGCGCATGCACGAGGGGGAGCGAGGGGAGAGCATGTGCATGCACGGGGGGGGTGGCTTCAGGTGGGCATTGGATTATGGGTGTTGGCATGTGCGTGCGTGCTATCAAGCATGCACACTCGCTTTTGGCACCCAAGGGAAAAAAGATTTGCCATCACTGGACTAGACAGTCACTTGTCTGAAATGGTATAAGTTCTCCTGCTTGAGCAGGGGGCTGGACTAGAAGACCTCCAAGGTCCCTCCCAGCTCCATTCCATTCCCCTGGCACATACCAGTTGCTATTGCTGCTGCCATCTGAAAGCAGGGTCTGTTCCCCTGGCTACAGGGTCCAGATGGATAAGAGTAATAGGCAACCGGTCACAGTGCAGAGCCAAATTTCTGTGCCAGTACTCCTGACCGCACCCCTATTTTCATGTAGATAGAGGATGAAGGGTTTGTGGTAATTGGGTAAACGTAGGGCTGGGGCTGAGGCTAGTGTACATTTTATTTTTTTCAAAGGTTTGGTCCAAGGCTTTTGTCCATATGACTGGGTCGGTTTCATCCTTGGCTGGATGAGAGACTTTGCTGGTTCTCCAAAAGAGGGGATCCATGGTCTTTATTCATTCTGGGACTAATTTGCAGGTCTCTGAGGACATATCCCAGATAGGTTACCTCTTGTTGAGATATTGGAGCTTGTTTGGTGATGCTTTATGTTCTTTCTCTGCCAGGAAATGGAGCAGAGGTTTTCAGTGCGACAGTTTGCCTCAGATTCTGAGGCTAGTAGGAGATCATCCACATATTGGATGAGAGTTGACTTATGGGGCAAACCTATGGAGGATAGGTCAGCCTTCAAAATTTATGAGAAAATAATAGGGGATTCTGTATATACCTGAGGGAGATGGGTACAGGTGTACTGTTGGTCTTCCCAAGTAAATGCAAACAGATATTAGGAAGCTGGGTCTACCAGGATGCTGAAAAAAGCCGCACAGAGGTCAATTACTGTAAAATACCCAGCTGTTGCTGGGATCTCTGTGATAATGGTGGCAGGGTTGGGCACCACCAGAGCCCTTGATATTATGTAAGTGTTAATGAACCTTAGATCTTATACAAAGCAATAAATGGAGTTTCCCTCTGCATCTGTCCATGGTTTCTTTACTGGGAAGATTGGAGTATTAGAGGAGGGAGGTACATTTCCAGAGGACTCCCTGTGCCAGGTATGCTGATTAATTTCCTAACTGGTTCAATTGCTTCTGCTTGAATTTTTGTATTGTGGTATGCATGCATGGGGGTGGTCCTGCCTTAACTTGTATTTTAACTGGGGTGACATTCTTAAGCCCACTGTCAACGTCTAAAGCATTTCCATGACTACTATCAACTTGAGAAGGAGGGAAAATGCCATGCATACTTTTGGCCAGATGACATCCTACACTGAAACCATGAATGACCACGTACCCCTGGTACACCAAGTACTGGAAAAACTTCTGGCAGCCAACCTGTACATCAAGGTATCAAAATGTGAATTCCACCATGCACAGTTAGACTACCTGGGTTACTGAGTGTCAAATGAGGGAATAGAGATAGACCCAGCCAAAGTGCAAGCCGTCTTAGGCTGGCAACCCCCTCGCACCCGCAGACAACTACAAAGTTTCCTAGGTTTCACGAACCTCTACAGGCAATTCATCCCCTCCTTTGTGAAAATTGNTCAGACCTGGAAGCCATTTTTTACTTTTTGATTTCAGGCCTGCCACACTTTCTACTGTGGGGAAGTGGGAGGGGGGATTATACAGAGCATGGGTGATGTGTAGCCATAATAATATTCTTTCTCAGAAAGTCAAGGTTGCTTTGTCCCTGCATCTGGTTGGATGTGGATGGGAGGAATGTTTCTTCATGGCAATGAAGGATTGGACCATGTGATAGACTTGTGGGTGTGGGATTAGGGTCTTGAACTTTCAACTGGGTGGGAAAACTTGAAAGCTTTCAGATTTAGGTTTTCCCAGATGTGCCAACATGAACTCTCAAGCCTCAGAGTTATCTTTCGTTGGGTGTGTTTCTTGGAACCCTGACACTATTACCCACACTTACTAGCACCTGTGCCCAGCTTGCCTGAGGTTACCACCACTTAATGACCTACATAGTTCTAGGGTTATCACATCAACCAGGATTGTGAGATTGCTTTAGCACTGCATCACCTAGCAATGGAAATCCTGGTCCTCACTGTTGTTGTAGCCCAAGGCTTACCTATAGTAGCTTCTAGAGCCATGAGAGCCACTCATTGAGATCATCTTAAGTGCATTTTAGTGGAGTATTTCTTAATTTTTCAACAGGAGGGTGTTCATTAATGGTAAGAATTATATTTTTTTTGTTAACTTGGTTGTTCTTGGCTGCAATAAAGATGAACTTTAACTCAAACTTGAGCTGTGTTATTAGTAGTTCCCGCTAATACTCTGAAATTTTCTAAATGTGACACAATGATGGCAAAATAAGGGCAGAAGAATTTGTTCTGAAAGGAATTATTTCCAGTTAATTTTCCTAGATGAGGGGTGTCAAATCTGATTTCATTGACGGCCACATCAGGGTTGTGTTTGACTTCGGTGTATGTGGGTATGTTTGACCTTGGGGTGGTGGGTGCACGTAGCCCTCCTGAGCTCCATTTTTGCTGGCAGAAGCACCGTGGGCCGGTTCTTCGCTGTTTCCAGGGTGGCCTGCAGGCCGGATCCAGCATCCGGGCTTTGAGTTCGACACCCCTGTCTTAGATTATTCTTTAACTGATTGTCACTATCTGTTTCAAACTGCCAATATTGTTGATCACTATTTCCTCAACTTTTCTCATTATAGTTGTACTTTGATACTAGGCACTAATTGGTTCTCGGATGTATGATGGGTACTAAAAAAACAAGTCCCAAACCATGTGACTTACTATATAACTCTTTATTTCAACTGGGAGGAACTTTCCATCTGTCCCTTTTCCTATGTCAGTGACCTTCCTCGCATGGTTGACTTCTTATCTGATTCCCACAGCTGTCCCACTCTTCCTATCGCATTGAGTACTAAACAAGGGCCAAGTACTGGGACAACATTTTCATGTCAAAATGCATTGCTTATCAAATTCAATGAGTTTTGAAGCAGTCAAGTACCAAGGTAACACTGTAACACTCCATATTCCAAAACATGTCTTTCCACCACCCCCTGCAAACACCTCAAAACTGAATTCATTATAACTGGAAAATTCCCATGGAATGATTTGTGCTGTTTGCCAAATACTGAGGAGTTGGGAAAATGATACAGAAGTGTAGCTTTTCTCCCATCTGGAACATCATTCCCACCTCTACCTCTGAAATCTATCACAGAATCTTGGTAACAAAGGAAACAGGTATATTACATTAAAAATTACTCTTTTTTTCATGTCTTTGCTCAGTGTTCTTTCCATTCGGAAACAGTTACAGCATCTGTCTGTTTACAAATATTTTATTGCAGGGAAAGTGACATTTCTAGAGAAGTTCCAAGTAATGTTATTTGTACAGGTTATACTTAGGCAGATTACTTTACTTTACGCTTAAGAAAATACATTCTCATCTAGCAAAACTGACTCACATGAATAGAAGGATAACAGAAATATATGACACAGACAGGACTTTATTATCATTGACCAATAAAAGTACAATCAATAAAACGATAATAGAAAACTGTCCCCTAACAAGAAATATTAACAATCATTTGTGGGTGAAACTTACACATAATGTAGTAAAATTTTGCTATTTTTAGAGAAATAAAGTCTGTCTGCTTATATGTGCAGACTTAATAGGTAAATTATTAAAGGCACAAAGTTGAAATTGTAATGCCAAAAATCCATGTAGGTTGGGATTGGCATTAGGAGAATAGGATTTCTGTGGATTTAAATATAAGCCCAAATTGCAGCGAACAGAGCAAGAAGGCCAACCAACTTAAACCAAAGGGGCACTAAGGTATTCTTGTCTGATTGAGTAACTGGCCTGGTTTTCAAGGGGTCCAAGACCCGTTCATGCTGGGTCAGGATAGCTTTCCTGGCTCCCTCCCATTTTCCTGGTCCTTGCAAGCGATATTGATACGGAGTACACGGCCCAAATAAAAGCTCCCGGGCCAGCTTAGGATCTGTGATAAACCGTGAGCATATGTTGGGCTTGACCCCAATTAGAGAAGCCAGTTCATCCATATATTCTATATAGTCCACTTGAATAGTGTGGCGTTGACTTTTCACATACCTGAAAAAGACAAGCAGAAGGAGGAATGATTAACAACTCTACAATGCCTGGATGGCCTATAGTCAAAACAATCACAAAATGTAATCTAAAAACCAAAATAGTAGAAGAAAGAACAACCAATGAAGAACAGTGCAGCACAGAAAACACAAAGTCTGGAGAAGGAGCAGGTTTTCAAGGCTCTTTTAAATATGGGAGTGGGGGCAGGTGTATCTTGGGGCAGATGCTCCAGAGGACAGGAACTGCAAGGAAGAAGATACCTAGAAGATGCCTTGTCTAGACATTAAGAGTTGTTCTGACAGTGAGGCAAATGAAGGGGAAGGGAATCCAAAAGTGTTTTCTCCAATGATACTAGTTTTATCACAGCTGCATTTCTAAGCATAATTTAGATAATAATGTAATAAGTAAACATGGGCCTCACAGAGAGCACCTAAGCTAGCAAAAAGTTTTCATAACCATGATTTTCAGTATTTCCTAAAGTGAAAGGCCATTTCAATCTGTTGAGCCGAGGTGGCGCAGTGGTTAAATGCAGCACTGCAGGCTACTTCAGCTGACTGCAGTTCAGCAGTTCGGCTGTTCAAATCCCACCAGGCTCA